TGACTGCGCTTAGAGGGATTCATCGAAATGACATTGTTGTAGTGACTTTCATTTCGTGTAAAAGTACCCACTGAAGAGCTCCGTAAGTAGATCTCACCACAGTGTATCCTGATGCTCCATGGTATCTTGGCCTTCGGATGTAAGCAGTTTGCGAGTCATCAACCTTTTACAATGAAAGCTTGCCGAATTCCTGCTCTTCCTGCCACTGGATTCAGAGAGCTGAATTCTATTCTTATAATCACTTCAAGCTAAGTCAAGAAGACTATCTTTTAAAGGGTCCATTTACAAAAATCATTGTTTTGCATTAGAATTACTTCTTATCTAATCCCTTCAATTTGAATATATTGACTATAAGCAATTTAAAAACCTTTATCCTGCTACTCTTTCAAAGTACTATTGAAACATTTTGTTTTATTTTCCTAAGCTTGTCTAAAGGCTCCTGATTTTATCTACTTAGACAGCTAATGTTTACTTTTCCCACAATTAAATAAATAGTCCTTATGTTACCATTACATTTCGCATAGCCTTGCTTCTTAAAAGGCTTCTCCACTCATCTCATATATGTGATCTACTAGTAGTCTCAAAAACCTACTTACGACAAATACTTTGATATATTTTTCATTTCATTACGCAGTCTTCATAATAACTATATGTATCGGTTACCTTAGCATCACTTTTTTAATTGTAAACATACTTTGAGAGAAATTCTTTGTTTCTGGAAAGGCAATGCACCTTGTTTTGCTTATCTTAATTACAAGTATCGAGTTCATTTGCTATATTTCTATATCCTTGAATTTAACCTGTCTATCTTTTTTCTTCGCTGGATAGAATTCCGCCGAACTCTACAATCGTGTCTATTTAGTGGTTAAATGCTGAAAGTGAATGAGATTCTGTTCATCTCTTTTTAAGTATGAGATAATTTCTTCTCTGGGAGTGTGAGTCTGTGACCAAGCATACGGCTTTTCGGTACTCCTATAACCAAAAATGCATTCTTATTTTAACTTGTTCTCTACATATCTATTTTGGCGAGATGAATAAGACTAAATTGGTCTTTTTCTCGCACGGATAGTAGTATATATATACAGAAATTAACATTAAGCTTTGTTTTACATATACATTGCTCGTTGTTGAACTTCATTTTGCACTTGTTCCTGAATATGAATTCTCATCTACACTTGTGTATATAAACGTTCTGAAGATTTTTTTTCTCTAGGACTCTTTATGTTGCAGCATGATTTAAGGCTTCTTACCCTCTGAGACTAACTAAGCCCTTCGAATATACTTCCTAATCTTTTCTGACTCACCGATTTACATTAGACGTGTGTACCTCTGGTCCTTCAATCTACTCCTTCGTCTATAGCTTTTGCTCGTGCAACTTGCATCTGTTTCTCATTATGTTTGGCCGATGCCTTTTCCAGCTATTCTATGCACACTTCGCTTGGCTCCTGCGGTCTGGTCCTCACTCTGGCCCTCAGTCTACTTCTTGCTCCGTCCTATTCCATCCAAATCAGTTTTGGCGCATTTTTGTCTTCCAAGTGTGTGGTCGCATGCTCCTCCATTTTTGTACCCCCTCATCTCTCTCTAATGGCCATTCTACCATCTAAGACTTTCTGTGTGCTCTTTGGAGCAGCTTACTCCTTTGTTGCCTGGGCAACGTGCCTATTACTGTATTATGCGGTGTCCCTCATTGCTGCCTTGGTTGTGGTAATCTTTCACTTATTCTACATATTTGTATTTTTAGGCATGTGGCCCTATACATGCCTTCTCAGGATACCGACTTTTCTCAGCCTCTCTAAATGAAGCCTAGCTTTTTCAGATATTTACATATGATTCAGATTGTCTGATAGAAAAGACAAACTATCTCGTGGGCTTATTGAAGGTTCTGCGGTTTTTCGCCGGATTGCATGCACACAGGGCAGGCATTTAAGCACTGCTGCCGACTAGGCCCTGTGTAACTGTGTTCAGTTACTAAGTCTGAAATATTCTTCTCAAACCTCCAAATTTCTGATCCATTTTGTTGGCTTACATTGTCTATTATTGCACTTATCCTGCTGCATTCTATGGTTAAATTATTTATTTATTCCTTTCGTAATGCTGCCTTCTATAGGCACAATTATTTAGCACAAAAGTTTTAAAAATGGTATTAATAATTATTGGATCCTGATACTATCAATTGGCCTCGACTAAGAGCTGTAGTCATCCTGGGCCGCATATGATAAAAGATTGGCACTTGATTTTACTAAGCTTTGTTTCCCTAAAGAGTGAACTTGACTGCAGGTTGGACCTCGCCTGGGCCTCATCTGCATTA